TTGGCTGGACAGAAAGGTAGATCGTTATGTAAATCATGAAGCGAGTATGGATATTCTAAGTCAACTTCTAGAATATACCCATACTCGCTATCCTCACTAATGTTTTCAACATTAAACAAATTCACTTCTTCCGACTCTAGCCACTTAGACTCCCCATAAGGTAAGGACTCGGACATGGCCCAACCATACAAATTATTCGCATCCACATACATTAAATATTCCGATTCTTTACTAGAATCAAAATCTTTAAGGTATTTGTGGTTTGCCTTGGTATACCTATGCGTACTTTGTACCCTCCTCGAATCCCTTTTTGAATATATCGTATCATGTCTATATCCTGCAGTAATTCGAGGCTAATTTGCGTAGTTTTAAGCATGGCATCCCAAGACAAACTCGGAATTGTGTAATAATAAGCAGGATCGAGCCCATGAATTTCCATACAAATTCCTCTGAAATTTTCGAAAATATCGGACAACAATAAAACATCAGTTTTTAAGTATAATTCTAAGTAATCTTTAAGGGTCTCACACTTGAAATATGTCCATACTTTATGTGCGTGCAAGTAATCAGCCTCAGAACATTCTGTTTCACACAAACTACTATAAAACTTTTCACGAGGTGGGAGAGAAACTTCTTTTAATCGATCACTAGAGTCTAAATACTCGTAAGGGAAAACACCTTTCCGACGAAGAAGGGTAAAGTCTTCACTATTTGGGTATTGAGATTTTAATACATTCAACTCATCATCATTTAAATTACTTGCCAGTGTGTCTAGACTAGAGGACATGAATCGGAAAGAGTCTAAAAATCTGATTTCTAGGGTATTATTTCCTACAGGTATATATTTAGATAATGATATATATAATTCTTTATTGCATGGAATTACACGTATTTCCCCTTCTGTTTCCCCGAGCTCTTTCACAAACAAATGCGCATCATACTTGGAAAGGTTGTGAAAGAACACGGAGACGAAATTACCTGTTTTATATTTTAGATTACACTCGTTATGAGCTGCACCTCGAAATTGGCCTGTGAAATGGCAGTGATCTCTCACTCTATCATTTCCTAATTCACCCTTACATATATGACAATTCATAGCGGACGCAAATTTTATTTCATCCTGTTGACTCATTGATAATGGTTTTATTTTTGACATATGATTTTGATATATCTCGGACAAATCGGACGTTAAATTTTCAATGAAAGTGCAACTAACATTTCCACCTGTTTTTAAAACTGACTTATCTAAACTAGAATCAAATGCACACTTTATATAAAGCCTAGTACTCTGACGAGAAAAACCCGCTGTCTAAATTAGACAGCGGAATCGCTGTTTATTTCACTACCGAGGTAGTGTGACCAAAAAAAATTAAGGAAAACCCTGAAATGCCATGAAAATGTACTGTTTATGGTCACACTGGACAGCTGTTTGTAAACAAATATTCAAAAAAAATATTAAAAATATTAATAAATATTGCATTAAAATGTATTTTGTGGGTTAAATTCCATATTATGGGCTTCCCCTTGACAGCCCCTATCAATGCCACCTTTTTCCTTCAACTTTCCCTCCATTAGGGGTGTCTAAATAAATCAAATGAATTATTTAGACAGCGCGATATCAGCTGTTTACTATCTTGATCTGGCAACGCCATTCAATTTTCGCAGGCTTCATTTTCGTCGTCAGAGTACCGAAAAAAACGACGTGTCTAAAAGTTCTTCTTCTTTTTTTCGACACCGTTTTTTTATATGGAGTTTGGCCGCTGTCTAAATTTATACCGCGGTTTTTTCTCGTCAGAGTACTAGGCTTAATATGAAAATGAAATAGGAATATGCTTATTTACAATTTGTGATTTTTCACTTACTGCTATTGAGGCAGGCTCCAGGATACACTCAAAGTCTGCGTAAACTGTAAAAGGGACCTCCAGTTGACGATGATAATTTGAAAACTCCAGCGTTGTGGCTTTCACATGAGGTCCTGTGGTGACCACTTTGCTGCAGACTTCGTGATGCTTTTCAAACCTCTCATCGCTTGTTGAGTAGCTTAAACATCTGTTGCAGAACATACGTTGAATTCTTTGATTCCCAATTTGTGATGTAAGTAGTCTATAAATAAAAATATAAAATTTAATTAGTATACAAATTAGAATGTATATATATATATATATATATATTTTTTTTTTATTTATTTATTGTTAATTTTTTTTTAATTTTTTATATTTTACTTACCTTGACATATGTTTTATCCAGACGAAATGTCCGGGAATATTTGCAGTTGGTCCATCCACAAATAATAAATTGATGTGGAATTCCTTTTCGACAGCATCCGAAAAAAGTGGTCCAAACACTTTACCCAGTTTTTCATCATACCCAAACACATTTATGCTAGTGTGTGGGTTTTGAGCAGTGAACTTGCCAACTTCACGTATTTCCATTGGGAAATTTAAGCCAGTGAAATCTAATTTCGTGGATGGACCTACATAAATCACGCTTGATGAAATGTTCACTTTATATGTTGAACATCTTTGTGACTTTTTGCTTTTCGAAAAGCTGGATAATATTGCCCACTTAAAGCAATATTCGTCTTTGTTTTGGACGTTAATCACAGCATTTTTGTTTTGAAGTTTTTGTGGTAGTTTAAAGGGTCCGCTTCCTTTCAATGGGTCACATTTTAACATATTTAACTCGACTCTAATTATGCGGGTTAGAGTCCATCCGCTGTCCCTTTCCTGGAACTCACTCATTTTTGTTTCAATTTCATCTTTGTGGAAATTGAACAGCATTATCAAATTGGAGGCTGATGAAACCATTGTCATTTTACTTTGGAATGACTTTATCTCCACTTGAGTTACATGCTCCTTTACAAGCATATACTCAGCAAACAACTCGAAATTTATTTTCGATGAAATGTGAGAGGTTAACACTCTCTCAATATGAGGGATCAGCGCTAGACTCGCCTCATTTAAAAATTCGCTGGGATTTCTAACAGGAACTCCCTCATTAACATACATGTATTGAAGAATACGACCCTTGAATCCATCCAAAATTTGTTTAACGGTCCCATCTACAGGTCGAGTTGGATAAAACTTGTGGGATTCTGTGCGGACATGATGATGCCATTGCACACCCACAGCCAGAACCATCTGGCAGGATAGGCAGTAAATGCCATTTGTGGAGATCTGTATCGGCAGCGGAGAGCGATGGCAGAGATGAGAGCGACGCGCTCTCTCACAAGAAGTAGAGAAATGCATTACTGTACACGCAACGCAAATAGATTATGTTAGTTGACCTGACAACGCTGGCAGTGCCGGTGCTAATAAAATAGCGAATCGAAGATCACACGTGTGCCTTGTTATTTGGACTTGGGGAAACGGGCATTGTTACACTGGCGACGAGGAGAAAAACTGGACCTTAAATATTTACCAAGTATTGTATAAATACTACCAGCCCAATTGAAAAAAAGAAGTAAAGAAATAACGAAAAACTAACGCGTGTCTCGCCGTTTTCGCAAGTCGACAATAAAGCGCCGTTATACTCGCATACGTAGGAACGGACATACATACATATGCGTGTAAGAGGTAAAGAGAGAAAAAGGTGGACAGCACAAGCCGATTAAATTCCGGCGGCTGCACTAAGAGAATCTGTTCCTAAGAGAACGAGATCGAAATAAACGTGAAGGCAAAGTGTAACTTTTGCATTAAGAGAATCTGTTCCAAATGGAATGAGATTAAGCAGTGTCAGCTGATTAAATTCCGGCTGCTGCATTAAGGGAGTCGGTTCCAAAGGGAATGCGATCCAAAGAAAAAGAGCAGTGTTAGCTGATTAAATTCCGGCTGCTGCATTAAGGGAGTCGGTTCCAAAGGGAATGCGATCCGAAGAAAAAGAACAGCGGTAGCTGATTTAATTCCGGCTGTTGCATTTAAAGAGTCGGTTCCAAAGATCGATAAAATAAAATAAAATAAAAAAAAAAATAATAAAAAAAAAATAATAATAATAAAAAAAAAAAAAAAAAAAAAACAAACTGGGAGATTGTTAATGGCCATTTTATTTTAATTATCTTTCAGTTTAAACTAAACATGACCGAGTTAAAACCATTCCTGTGCCAGGGAATGGATAAAGCGCTATGGCGAACAGAATGGGAGGCGTGGTTGCGCGCGTTTAATATATATATTGACACGGAGGAGATCACATCCGTATGCAAGAAAAGAAATAAGCTTCTCCACCTGGGCGGACCACAACTCCAGGCCGTAGTCTACAGCATTCCGGGAGCATTAATTCCTTTTGACGAGAATGAGAAAAATGATGTCTTAACACCTCTCATTACCAAATTGAACGAGTATTTTTCACCACAGCGCAACTCGTCTTTTGAGAGACATTTGTTTCGGTCGATGACCCCAATAGAGGGAGAATGTTTCACAGAGTTTTTGATGAGGCTTCGCCGCCAAATAGTAAAATGTTCATTTGGAGAGACTAAAGAACAGATAGAGGATATCTGCCTAAAAGATAGGATCATGGATGTCTGGGCTCCGTTGGAGCTAAAAAAGAAACTACTGGAAAATGAACTTACTTTGGAGGAGGTCATAAAAGCATGTAGTGTCGACGAACAAGTTAATAAACAAACGCAGTCGATGATCCCGCAGGCGAATGCAAATAGCATCAACAAAATAGTTCAGCGTAGCGCGGGTTCCGAATGTGGCAGATGTGGTCAAAAAGGGCACCAAGAGAATAGCTTGGACTGCCCAGCCAGAAACGCGAAATGCAGGAAGTGCGAAAGGTTTGGACATTTTTATCGGAAATGCCGTACAAGGAAACGGAAACCATATGATAAATGGGAAGGACCCGATAGAAAGCGACGACAATATGATCATTCTACAATCAAGTCCATATCCAGTGGTTCTAAAAATTACCCAGATAGCCCAAAAGACGCGGATCTATTCAGAGTCGACCATGGATCATCACGAGAAGAAGAACTTCCATGTAAAATAGGTGGCGATACAATCACTATGATAATTGATTCGGGATCGAAGTACAATCTGATAAGTCAGTCGGATTGGCGACAATTGTGTGAGAAAAGGGCAGTGATGTTTAACTCGCGCGCAGAATCAGCCAACCAGTTTCGCGCATATGCTTCTGATCATCTGCTTAAAGTACTACAAGTTTTTGAAGCCCCGATTTCGGTGCTAAAAGACCCTGAACTGATTGCTACTTTTTACGTCATTGAAAATAGTAGACAATCGCTGTTGGGACGTGACACAGCAACCAAACTCAAGGTTCTAAGACTGGGCTTAGACGTACATCGAGTTGAAAAAGCCGAGCCTTTTCCCAAATGGCATAATGTGTCGGTCAAGCTGTCCATTGACAAGTCAATAGTCCCAGTGAAGCAACCAATGAGACGAGTGCCAACAGCGTTGGAAAGTAAAATCACCGATAAATTGGAGGAAGCCTTAAGTTTGGATATCATCGAACCAGTATTGGGCCCGAGCGCTTGGATATCGCCAATTGTGATTGCATTTAAGGACGACGGGGATATCCGGGTATGTCTGGACATGAGACGCGCAAACAAAGCAATACAACGAGAGAACTACCCGTTGCCAACGTTCGAAACGTTTATGACCAAGCTGAAAGGTGCCAAATATTTTTCGCGACTCGATCTAAAAAGCGCTTACCATCAACTGGAGCTGACCGAATCCAGCCGAGAAATTACTACCTTCATAACACACCGCGGCCTATTTCGATATAAGCGGCTGATGTTTGGCGTGAACTCAGCTCCAGAAATATTTCAACGGCTAATGGAGGAAATGTTGGCTCCTTGTCAGAATTCTTTAAATTACATCGATGACGTGATAATATTTGGCAGCAATATTGAGGAACATGACAAATCACTCGCAAAGGTTAAGGAAATATTTCAAGCCAATAACGTAGCACTAAATGAGAAGAAATGCGCATTTCGAGTACAGAAATTGAAATTTCTAGGCCACATCCTCTCGGACAAGGGGATCGAAGTTGACCCCGAGAAAGTGAAGGTGATTACATCATTCAGAGCGCCCAAAAATAAAGAAGAGGTACGCAGCTTTCTCGGCTTAGTAACATATATTGGCAAATTTGTATCTGATCTGGCGGATAACACAGAGCCTCTGAGAAAATTACTGAAAAGCCATGAAACGTTCTGTTGGGGCCAACCACAGGAAGAAGCATTCCAGAATCTCAAAGTTAAGATTTCGGCAGTTCCAATGCTGTCATACTTTAACCTGCAGGATAAAACGTGTTTGATCGCAGATGCCAGCCCAGTGGCCTTGGGAGCAGTGTTGGTGCAATTTGATAAATCGAATACTGCACGCATAATATCGTTTGCCAGCAAGAGTTTGTCATCGGTGGAAAGAAAATATTCACAAACGGAAAAAGAAAGCCTGGCATTGGTGTGGGCTGTGGAGAAATTTTATTATTATTTAGCGGGACTACAGTTTGACCTTATAACTGACCACAAGCCACTGGAAACGATCTTTAAACCAACTTCGCGACCTCCGGCCAGGATTGAAAGGTGGTTGTTGCGATTACAATCTTACCGGTTCCGCGTAGTATATAAGGCAGGAAAGGAAAATATTGCCGACTCACTATCAAGACTTTGCGAAGTAACCGATACCGACCCTTACGACTGGGCTGGTGAGGAACACATATTTCGCGTGGTGTCAACCTCAGTTCCTAAATCGCTCTCCATATCGAAGGTCACGGAGATGAGCATACAGGATGAGGAAATAATAGACGTGATGACATGCCTTGGCCAGGATTCATGGAACTCAAATATGTCTAGCCCGTACTATCCATTTCGTTTGGAACTCTCGATTGTGGGAAATATCCTATTGCGAGGCACAAGACTAGTAATTCCCCAGAAGTTACGTGAACCAGTACTGGACCTCGCCCATGAAGGGCATCCCGGGATAAGCGCCATGAAACGGAGGCTTCGTTCCAAAGTTTGGTGGCCGTGTATGGACAAAGACGCAGAACAGTATGTTAAGGAGTGCCGCGATTGCCTTTTGGTATCAATGCCATCGCATCCGGCCCCAATGAAAAGGCATCCGTTCCCGAATGGACCCTGGAGATGCTTAGCTACCGATCTTTTGGGCCCTTTACCAAATGGTGAGAATATACTTGTACTAATCGACTATTACTCCCGATATATAGAGTTCAAACTCATCAAGTCGATATCATCGAAAACCATTATTGAGGAGATGGAAGAGATCTTTTCCAGATTGGGGTTCCCGGAGACCTTAACGACTGATAATGGGAGGCAATTTGTCAGCAGCGAGTTTAAGAGTTTTTGTGAAACCAGCGGCATTCGGCTAATGCCTACACCGCCATACTGGCCGCAGGCCAACGGCGAAGTCGAAAACATGAACAGGTCTCTGGTGAAACGCCTAAAGATAGCTCATGCCAATAACGACAATTACAAGAAAGAGATCCAAAAATTTGTATTAATGTATAACGTCACTCCACACGGGACCACGGGCGCACCACCAACAGAGCTAATGTTCAACAGGGTGATAAGGGACAAAATTCCTGGCATACAGGATCTTGTTGGCGAAACGGCTGATTCAGAAGAGAAAGACAGGGACGTCTGGAAGAAAGAGAAAGGGAGAGAGTTAGCAGACAGCGCTAGGAAAGCGGGAGCGATCGATATAAAAGTGGGTGACAAAGTTCTCCTTAAAAACGTGGTATTCCCGCATAAGCTGACGCCAACATTCGATACGACCACATATGAAGTAACTAACCGAGAGGGAAATGTTGTTCAAATTTCTGGTGGTGGCAAGTCGTACACCAGGAATGTAAGCCATTTGAAAAAGATCATCGGGGCAGACTCATCGAAGTCGTCTGATTCGGTGAGCCCCAATGTTGGGATACCTCCTTCACCTATTTCGTTACAGTCGGTTGCCGAAACTCTGACGCCACAGGAAACTCCGGCAACAAAGGACCACCATGACCCGAAGGACAACCTGAAGCTCCGTCTAGAGAAAAAAGAAGGGGTGTGGAGATCTGTATCGGCAGCGGAGAGCGATGGCAGAGATGAGAGCGACGCGCTCTCTCACAAGAAGTAGAGAAATGCATTACTGTACACGCAACGCAAATAGATTATGTTAGTTGACCTGACAACGCTGGCAGTGCCGGTGCTAATAAAATAGCGAATCGAAGATCACACGTGTGCCTTGTTATTTGGACTTGGGGAAACGGGCATTGTTACACCATTCATATTGTTGTAGTTGCTGAACTGGTTGTAGTTGTTGTAATTGTTGTAATTGTTGTAGTTGTTCATGATGATGTTTTTGTTGATTTCGTTGAAGGCAATATAGGTGTTTATGACGTTGATATGCACGTTGTTGATGCGTTTGCTATTGTTGTTCACGTTGACTATATATATATATTTTGTTTTGAATGTTAATAAATTTTTTTGTTTTTTGTTATTGTTTTTTTCTTTTGTTTTTAATTTTTTATATTTTTGCTTTTGTTGTTAATAATGTTAATAAATTTTTTGTATTTTGTTTTTAATGTTTTATATTTTTGTCAATGTTTGTTTTTATGTAAACAAATTTCACTTTTTGAATTTTTGTTTTTTTTTCTTAAAACCAATTTTACATACACTTATTCACTTTTTAAACGTAAAATTTTGTTTTATAATTTTTTTAAGGTAAACACCGGCGTGTACAAATTGTTCGGGCCACAAACTGTGAGTGAATCCTTAGGATCTAGGATTTTCCTCGTAGACCCGAAATCTTTCGCATAAGATGCAAAAATTTTTTTTTATTTTTATATTTTTGTCAGTTTTGCTTTTAACGTAATGGAAAGGAACCCGACTATTTTATCTGGGGTAGTTGTCATTTAGTTGATCGTTTGTACTCATACCCCACACCATTATATAAGAGTAGGGTCGATGATAGCACTAAATTTACTCATGCTCTTTCAAGATTTGTTTTTGTTTTTCATTATAAGAAAAAGAAGGTGGTGTAAATGTGTGAGATCGCTTACCTTTTTTGCTAGACGATCCCTCAATTCCTTTTTAGTAAGCATTCGTTGGTATGTGTCCTTTGTAGAAAAAAGGGAAAGTGATCCTTTTTTATCAACGCCGAAAATCTCGGTCAATGGTACCCTTTTCTCCCCATTCACCCACCCATTGATAAATGAGCTGTAACCTTTTGACTCCATATTTATCACAGCCCAAAATCTCGGCTGACCTTTTCATCCCTCCCTCTTCATTGCATTGTGCGTTTGCAGGTGTACAGCGGCTTTTGCTGACATCTTCATCCCTTTAAGGATCGCACTGACCTTTTCACCCTCCATCCCCTTTTGGTGTGGGATTTGATTGTGGGAAACGAATGCGTGCGGGTCGAACGCTATCGCTCCCTCTCGAAGCCGTTTCGAGTGCGTCTTCGAGGCGGTAACGCTCCCGCTCGCGCGCGGGTCGAACGATATCGCTCCCTCGCATACGCACTCGAAGACGTATCGTGTGCGTTATCGCTCCCTCGCTCACGTATCGAGTGCGTCTTCGGGGCGGTACCGCTTCCGCACACGTTTCTCACGTGTCCTCAATCCATTCAATCACACCCTAATCAATTTTTATTACCCTACCCTTTTAAGGTGACAGGGGTCAGATCACCCCTATCTATTTAATTAATGACCCTAATTAGCAATTAAGATAAAACTGGCCTGGATGTTAGATTCCCCTACTACTGTTGGAGTTATCCAAATGGAATTCAATTAAAATTTGATACATCTGAATACCCTGATGAATTGGCTAGGCAATTTTCCACAGTGTAACAAGAAGCGCTTAGAGTACTTTAAGGATGAGCTGCATGGCAGGCCAATGACAGAGTTTGTGGGTCTGAGGTCTAAGATGTACGCCTATACAGCGTCAAGTGCAGGTAGCGAGCCCGAAAAATGTGTAAAAAAAATAAGGGCGTGAAGCGAAGTGCCTTGGAGAAAATTACATTCGAGAAATATAAAAATTATTTGTTCACAGGACAACAATACAGTGATAGCATGTATTTGTTTCGGTCTAGGGGGCATGAAATTAATACATACAAAATTTCAAAAATAACATTAGATAATAAGGATGATAAGAGGCTAATATGTGAAGACGAAATTGCCACAAAAGCGATAGGACACTATTCGACAAGAGAAGGGGAACTTATGGGGTGTATCTCAACTCTAGCAGACAAATCACGGTGGTTAAATAATGAAACTCTTGTGATAATGAGTGAAAGAAAGAGAGAAGACTCGACGAATATGAACGAGATTTAATTTGGCATTATATTAAAATAGCTAAACTAGAAAATCCAGAATTTGTGATATAAAATATAAATTCAAATTTGTAAATAAACATTGTATTTGAGTTTTAAATTAAACAAAATTTATTCAAAATGTTTAGATCTAAGATTAAAATATAATGTATAATGTAAAGTTAAAATTAAAAAAAAAAAAAATAATTATAATAATAATAATAATAAAAAATATAAATTAAAAAAAAAATTTTTTTAATGTGTTGTATGTGTATGTTTATTTCATTACAAAATTTCAGATGTATTTATCCAGCTGTCGTAACTTTTCGGGAAGCCCAACCAACGTACGAGTGCTCTTTTACCTTGTCTTTTAAGTACCTTTTCAAATAGATATGTGTTGGGAAATCGGGTTTTTTCAGCTCTTCCTTAAAGAATCCGCCTTTTACGGGATTTCCATTCAAGTCCTTTAATAGGTATGTTACCGGATAAGTGTTTTGAATTTTGTATATTGTAAAAATTTCAACATTCCAATTCGGAGTAAATGATTTCTCAAAAACTCCCTTATATTTAGAAATTCGAACATTGTCACCAATTTTCAGTTTGCTACCTGCAAACATTTTGATATTATTGTACACCGTTTGCAAGATATGCCTCTCATTGTCGGCGTTTACTTCTACGGGATCCATTTTTATAGTCCTGTGTACTTTATTGTTGTAAAAGTTAATTAAGGCTTGATACATATCGATCCATTTATAGGTCCTATTGTAAGAAAACTCCTTCCACATTAGTTCTTTTAATGTCCTGTTGAATCGTTCCACAATAGAAGCCTTTAGAGTACTAAATGTCGAATAATGATTTATTTCATAACGATTCATCAACGACTTAAATTGTATGTTAAAAAACTCTTTCCCGTCATCTGTTTGTAGATGCTTAGGTACTCCATGCCCAGAGTTGAAAATTTTTTCCATTGCTTCAGAAGCATGTGAAGCAGTCTTAGACTTAAGTGCTTCGCCAAAGGCGAGCTTTGAGAAGGTGTCAATAACTGTAAGAAGGTAGCGATATCCATTATTCGTGGAAGAATACTTTTGCATTTCCACCAAGTCAGCCTGCCATAACCAATTTATTCCCTTTGTAATAACTCTCCGACGTAGAAAATGTTTTCGTGCAGGAGCATGTAATTCATTACTAATACCCCGTCGACTCATTTTCACACAAGTTACTTAGAATATCCCTTTTTTTCAATAATACATGAAATAATAACCTCAAGTCTGTCTAAACGATCCTCAATATCGGTGGCCCTCACATCGGGAATACTAATAATTAACTCCTCTTGATGTGACATTAGCGATGCTCTTATATCGAGTATAGCCTTGCAAACATATTCTTTAATGACTAAGTCCGAATTCTCTTTTGGAAAGTCTCCATTTTTTAAGCGCCTTCGCTGAATATTAAAGTTTCCATCCGTATCTATGAAGAGTCCTGTCCCAGTTTTTTTCATATCGTTTTAAATTACTGTTCTGCTTGTCATGTAAATAACGTCCAAACTTGTCAACGGACATTATGATTATAATCTTATTTGTTAATGTTTCATAATTATATACTTAATTAGAATATAATTTTAGCCTCTCTTAGTTCCTCCATTATCGACGTAATCTCATTATTGTGGTTTTGATTGCCTGCTGATTCCGATGCTATTAAGAGCTGAAGTCGTTCCACTAACTCATTTGGATCGTCCCAGTATACATAATTAGGCTTATTCCTCTCAAATGTTATGAAACCGGACCCACTTATCATTTCTTTTTTCCCTTTGGGTGTAGATTCGGCGACGGGTACCTTAGCTAAAAGTGGTTTAATAATTTTCGAATATTTCAATGCTCTCGTTCCTTTCACTTGTCCATTTGGTTGAAAATTTCTTCGATATACATTTGTTTTTATTAATATTTCTCTATATATTTTCAGGTCATCTGCATTATAATTATTTGGGAGGTGGTGACATATTAAAGAATATAATCCGCTTGTGAGTCGCCAGTTTTGACCATCATCAAATTCAATTATATTATTGGTTACATTTATTTTGTTATTTCCCAACATTAATTGACCAGCTTCATTTTTGTATGGTCCATATATCTTATCCAAAATTCGTTCTCGTGCCAGTTCACTAACATTAAAATTTTTCGGGCTCTCTTCAAACAGAGGTTGAGTTGCTATCAATGGAGATGAATTGGGGGAGGATTGTCTTGATAATACACTTGGTGCGTGGGGAGACGCTTGGCTTGATATTTCAGGTGATTGATTTAAGTGGTGATCGGGTGGTGAGAATGAAGAATCATCGTCTATAGCGGGTTGGGAGTAAAATTTATCATTCTCATCATCATCATCATCTCTATTATCATTGTGAGTATTCTCATAATCATCTTCTTCAGCACTTTTCAACCTCCAATCCGATAGATTGTATTCATCTTCTTCAGCATTTGAATTTTTGATAGGCGCAGTGTAAAATGTAAGTTTCCTCTTTTTCATATGCGGAGATTTATTTTCAATCTCCACCTTAGTTTTATCATATTGGTTCTCTTTGTGTTTATTGTACTCAATTTTTTTGGTATGATTAACAAGTTCATTTAGCGGTTCAGTTATCGGCTTAAATGTTTCTTCTAAACCCATAGTATTCTGACTTTTAAATTGTTTTAGCTCTAAAAATTTTTTTTTTAAAGCATTTCGAGTTTTATTCAATTGTGATAAAATATTTTGGTTCATTGTGATGAAATTTTAGAATGTTTCAATCGAAAGAACAATACTGGTTATTTCTGTCTCGGAGTTCGGTATGC